TATTCTTGACCAGGGTGACCCAAGGAATGCCCCTAATTTTTTTTGTGAGGTCACACCCCCCGGGGGGCGAACCACCCCCCCTGTGGGGGGAAGTTGAGACTGACCCATGAATATTGTTAAGCAACTATCGATGATGTTATCTGCCAAATTTCAGAATTTTAGCCCTCATAGTTCGGGTGGTTCATGCATTTGAAGGGCATAAAACAGACGTTTTGGGGCTGTTTCGACCACACCCCATAGCCTAACGGGCAGACATGGGCAAATGTATTTGGGGGGGTTTGACTCATCCCATCGAGTACTACATACGCCTATGAGGGTTTCTTGGAATCGGGTGGGATGCTCTAGATATCCCATCCGAAACTTGCGAAAAAAAATTTCGAACTTAGTATTATTTTCCGAGAAACATAGGAACCCTAATGTTACAGCGAGTCTGTCCCGCTACAAAGGCAGGCCCAAGCTACAGCGAGTCTGCCCCAGTAAAAGGGCAGCCCCCAAGGTATAGCGAGTATGGCCCGCTATAAGGGCAGCCCCAAGGCACAACTTATTAAAGTTAAAGCCGCGGTGCGTCTTATCGGATTTGTTAAGCCATTAAGCCGGGCTTTTCAAATTCGAGATCGCAATACCGCCCAGCTGAGCTGGAAGTGACTGGAAGCGCTCTGGGTCCTTCTGAGTTAATCTCAGAGTAGGTGGCTCACTGCCCAGTTTCATTTCCAGCTCAGCTGGAGCCGCCTCAGGGAAGTTGTGCTCTTGTACTATTATAAATATCAAGACAAAACTATTACAAATTACATAAACAAATGGAAACTTGAATAAATAAATAAATAACAAGTATAAAAACTACAATTCCTCAAGAATTAACCTTCAAAAAGCAAAAAAGGTTCCGTAGTCAGATTTAATTTGGCGTCAAAGGGCGAAGAGCCCAATCCTGTGATGATTCCTTGCGGGAGGACCGGGAAGAGCCCCAGACCTGTAAAATAATCCCCGGTTCCATTTGTACCCCAAGGCGGAGCAGGCAGGTCTGAGCCATGGTCCCGGGAACATATTCGATAGGGCCGGAAAGCGTGTGTTTAGCTATACAAAAATTTTAAAAAAGCAATTTGAGGCTAGGCGAGTGTTCGTTCACTGAGGGAGTGTATAAATCAACCAGACTAGCAGATTTGATTTTTTAACCAACATGGATGAAAGCACACGTGAAATGGAAGAACATAGTGGCTTGACGCAGCCGGTGATGGGTATGGAAATTGAGCCTGATGAGCCTGAGTCGCCTTCAGATGAAATAAAAATTACCAACCGCAGTTTAGTAAACATATTCATGCTGCCAAAGTTGAAAAAGAACGACTCAGATGAGAAAGAAAAGCAATGCCTTGCTCTACTAACGCCATTTATTACTGATCTGTCTGAAACCGGTGCAGCTACACTCTTACAGAAAATTCGTAAATTAAAGAGTACATTTAATCAGAAGTGGGCAAGTTCAAATCGAACAGTGACAAATTTTCAAACAAGGGAAAACGGCTGGCTAGATTTGGAATTTGAAATCGAGGCAAACAAGTTACTTACCATCAGCCAAGATACTATTTCATCAGTCGGACGGCCAACTTTGACCTGGAATGAATCTTCTGGTTCATCTAAAAGAAGAAAGGTGCAGGAAGTTCTTCAAGCTACCAAAGATGAACCCCTTGAAAAAATCATAAAAGCTGCACAGTTATCTGCCAAACAAGAAGGCAAGTCCGACGTGTCATTTATTTTAAGTAAAGCCTTGAGTAGCCCTCGATCTTGTTCTCAGATTGTATCCAAGATGAAAGACAAAACGATCATCACGCCTTACACACCTAAGGAAGCGTTGGCATTAATAATCGACAATGACATGACTGTAGCCACTTACAACAGCATACGTGAAGGAGCAAAAGCTCATGGTTGTAATTTATACCCACCTTATTACCTGGTGGCGAAGGCCAAAGACAAGTGTCGTCCATCGGTTAAGCCCACAGCAACTGGTTCAGCCGTACAAATTCCACTGCAGGATTTACTCAATCACACCACATCTAGGGTTGCTGAATTGCAAGAGGATGTGTTTAACAGTTACTCTGACATAATTCAGTCAAAAGAGTTGAACTTAACAATGATATATTCCTGGGGATTTGACGGTAGTACTGGTCAGTCTCAGTATAAGCAGGCATCAAATATTGAAGGTTTTGATGACAGTTCTCTATTTGCTACAACAATAATACCTCTGCAATTAAGATCCGATTCATCAGATTGTAGAGTATTGTGGAAAAATCGAACACCTCAATCAGTTAGATACTGTCGACCTCTAAGATTGGCTTTCGCAAAAGAATCAAAGGAGTCAATTTTGAGAGAGAAGGCGGCAGGAGATCTTGAAATTTCTAAGTTACAACCATTTGAATTAGTATTAACGTCCGGAGTTAGACTCATTATAAAATTCGAATTAAATTTTACTATAATTGATGGCAAAGTATTAAGCATTGTTACTGGGACCTCCTCTCAACAATCTTGCCCAATTTGTTCCGAAACTCCTTCCAAGTTCAATCAGCTGAATCTGCCCTTTCAACCGATTGATGGTCGCCTAAAATTCGGCATAAGTCCTCTTCATGCTTGGATAAGAGCCATGGAGTTTTGTCTGCACTTAGGGTATAGGAACTGTGAAGGCTTGAGGTGCTGGAGGGTTGAAGGGACCGATAAAAAATCTATCCTAGAGGCACGAAAACGAGATATTCAACAGAAATTAATTCATGAGCTCGGGCTAAGAGTTGACTTCCCTAGGGCTGGCGGTAGTGGAACAAGTAATGATGGAAATACGGCTAGAAGAGCGTTTTCCAATCAACAAACTTTTTCACGTATTCTAGGCTTGGAGGTATGGTTGATACATGACCTGCATGTCCTTCTGTGTGCCATTTCTACAGAACTTCCTATTAATCCTGAGAAATTTGGTAGCTTTTGCCGACAGCTGGCTAATAAATATGTAAAAGAATACAAATGGTACTACATGCCTGTTTCAATTCACAAACTATTGATTCACGGAGAACAAATAATTAAAGAGTCCACTGTTCCGTTAGGTATGCTTAGTGAGCAAGCTGGCGAATCAAGAAATAGGTTGTATAAATTCTATAGAGAATATCATTCCCGCAAGATAAATCGAACGGCCAACTTATTGGATATGTTTAATAGATGTGTTGACTCATCTGATCCCGTAATTTCCAACTATTCACTAGAAAAGCGACTTAAAAAGTCAAAGAGATTGAGTCTTCCGTCTGAAGTTATTGAAATGATTGAAGAAGTTGATTTTGGATTTGTTGCTCAACCTCGAGATTTAAATATCTTGGTTGAAGAGCCAATTGAAATCCCTGGGCTTGAGGAAATCGAATTGGAGAATGAACTGTAGCTTAAAAAAATGTTGGCTAGCGGTGGCCTGATCAAATGTACCGTCCGTGCCAAAAAAGGCCTGTGGGGCAACAAGTGGAGAGAGGTCCTCGTTCCTTTGCCCTGGGTAAGCCAACATTCAGGCTTAGCTGACGTCTCCACATAAATACAATCCTCCTTTAAATACGAACAAAACGAACTGTGTTTTCGGAATATTTAAAAAGAAAAGAAAAACCGAAGTTAAAAATATGTCACAAACTATATTTCACTCTTCTAGACATATTCTGAAATAAGAAATCAGTCTGACTCTACTCCTCCGTCGTATTGGCTAACGGAAAATAATACTAAGTTCGAAATTTTTTTTCGCAAGTTTCGGATGGGATATCTAGAGCATCCCACCCGATTCCAAGAAACCCTCATAGGCGTATGTAGTACTCGATGGGATGAGTCAAACCCCCCCAAATACATTTGCCCATGTCTGCCCGTTAGGCTATGGGGTGTGGTCGAAACAGCCCCAAAACGTCTGTTTTATGCCCTTCAAATGCATGAACCACCCGAACTATGAGGGCTAAAATTCTGAAATTTGGCAGATAACATCATCGATAGTTGCTTAACAATATTCATGGGTCAGTCTCAACTCCCCCCCACAGGGGGGGGTGGTTCACCCCCCGGGGGGTGTGACCTCACAAAAAAAATTAGGGGCATTCCTTGGGTCAGCCTGGTCAAGAATATATACATATACGATAGGATTAGCTCCTTACGAATTTCGAACAAAAAAATTGCCATTTTGGAGTCCGTGCAGTGGGTGTGGAAAACTTACATTCCTCTGTTGCAGCTAACCATGCGTGTGAACATTGTTAATTTTGAAATTTTTGAAGGTGAATTACATGAATAATTAAATTATTTAATTAATTAGATAAGATTAACCACACCCCATGCCACCCCCACAATATGGTGTGACCTCCAGGTTATACTGTTAACCTCCAAGGGTCATTAGCGATATCTGTCCCAGGGATATCGAGCTTATAAGCGACAAAAAGATTTAGGGGTTTCTAGGATTTCTTTTCTTGACCTTGTGACCTTGATAACAGGTCACTAAAGTCAAAATTTCATATTTTGGAAATATATATTGTTCCTCACAATTCAAGGTTTCCAAAACGGTATAAATTTTGAAAATCCATGCAGAATTGAAAAAGTAACACGTATTAGAAGTTCATACAATTTTTAGCTTTTCCCCATGCATTAAAAAAGTTTATTCTTAATGAAAACATACCATACTCAATTCAAATAACTAAAATTAATATATTTTGATACGTATACGAATTTAATTAATTTTGACGTAGTTCAAACATCGTTTATAAACTGTGATATATTTTTAATCATACACTTTTAATTTGCCAAGATCAATCAGTTTCTCATTAATAAATTGCCAAGTCTTCAGCACATACATGTACGCAAACGATGAGATTAGTACATTATCTAATGTATCATGCCACTATCGCACAACGCGGATAATCGACCCACTTGTACCTTATCCATGTTTCAAATACATACGTCTCGAATAGATATTGACGCAATATCGGCTGCTTATCTGCGTCAGTGCTGGATATGTCAACTTCAGCTTTAAATTCATGGCTTCATATAAAAGGGAATCTTTTTTGTTACAAACTTACATTCAATTATTTCAAGTCATCCAAGTAATTCAAGTCAGAAAAGTTATTATTCAACTTGATATCATCCCAAGATTTTCTAAAAATATACATACATACATAATTTTGAAACCATTCGACATGGCGGTTAAGAATTTACCAGTAGTAAAAATTGTTTTGGTTCTTGCAGCTCTTCTAGCTCTCGTGTCTGGTATGTACCCTTAAATGTTTTTTTTTCAATTTTCAAGATTGATAAACCATTAAGATAATTCTAGCAGGTACGGTGGAACACAATAAGGATCAAAATGAATTCAAAGTCATTGCACAACTTGGAGCGAAAGTATTTTACACGCACGTTTCAGATATTGTGAGAATTTACCGTATAATTAAATTGTCAAGCAATTATCCGTTTTCGTTCAAAGCGAATTAATTTAATTTAAGAATGGCACATGGATCCGCAACAATAATTTCTGCTTCAGGAATAATCTGTTTACCCCAACAATTTCCTCTGAATTTGAATTAACCGCGCTCAATAATTATTTTCAACCGCTGTTTGGAAGTAAGTTTTCACCTTTGTCTTTTACTTCTGGGAAAGATAAACATTTTTTTGTGTAAAGCATTTCCATTTTGGAGCGGTGCCGTCAACTTCAATCGAATGGGAAGCCCATACTGGCTCCGGAACTATGGAACCGTCCAACCCGGGAATTGGCTCACGATTGGAGAACAATTCGATTCTGGGGCAAGTTGTGCCTACATCACTAACAAAACAATGGGTTTTGCGCCATGTGCGGAAACTCCATTCTTGTATCTGTGTCAAAATTATTGAGTTAAAATAAAAAAATAAGGTTCACCAATTGTATCAATGCAGAAATAAGATGTAATGTTACACTTAGAGCCAATAAATAATATCTTAGAAGCTTTATTAAGAGGACCCAATCATTATTGGAGTTTATTTTATTGTAACACTGTGAATGCTGTTAATCTACAGCATTTAACTACTAGCAATGCGAAGGTGTCAGCGGGTACGCATGAATTTTATTGGGACCAATTTTAATTTATTCACCACCAAAAATAAGCGGACCCTTAAACCGAGGATATAAATCTTGTACCAGAGCTTAAAAAAGAGCACGTAAATCGTCAAATATTTACTTATCTATAATTTATATCAACTATACCCTTACAAAGCCATGATGACCCATATACTTAAACTTTTCTGAAAAAGTGTAAAATTTAATAACAGGCTTTGTACAATGATGAACCCCATAAAATATAAAATATATACCATTCTCACGATTGCAAAATATTCTGCAAACTATAGTATACATGTCATCCTTAGATAACGCAAGCAAGGCTGATGTAAGCACGGGGTTTGTTCTTATCCCTGACTGTTTGCAAACGCAGATAACATACTGTTTTCAAACAAATATATACTGCGATTTAGGATTGCCGATGAGATGAGACGTTCTCATCTCATCATGAGACGAGATGAAATGAGACTGCCGCTAAATGAGATGCGATCTCACGTGAGACCGCCAAAACGTTGTTCGATGAGATGAGTCGCAGCGAGATGAGATCCATAAACAGAAATTTATCTCATCTCAATTCCATGTCATCTCAACATAAATGAGACGAGATGTGATGAGATACAACTTTGGCTATCTCATTTAAGTTCCATCTCATCTCACTAACAATATAACTATCAGTTTCGGAACATCTAATGCATAGGAAGATGCGGTAAAAGCATTAGGAGCCACTTCAAATTCAAAGTATAGGGTACGCACACGGTTTTTAGAGTACTAACAATGCGGACGTGTCAGTGGGTACGCTCAGTTTTCAATGTTACCACGTTAATTTGGTAGTTCATATCAACCCAACCAACGTTTAGTTTTGCATTTTCTTTAATGCGCAAATTTAAATGCGTGGCGGGCATTTGAAATATTTTTCTACTCAAAATGTTCGATTTTAAAATGGCCGTAACTTTGTGGATTTTGGGGCGAATTAAAAAAACAAAAAAAACATATTTGCTTGGAATTATTTCCTCTAGAATATAAAAAATCATTTTCAAAAAAATGTTGAAAATTCGCATTTTTAGCGGGGTTTCCAATTTTGAAATATTCAACACACCGGAAAAATTCGAATTTTGAAATTTTTTTTGAAAATGGTGTTTTATATTCTAGAGGAAGTAATTCCAAGCAAATATGTTTTTGGTTTTTTTAATTCGCGCCAAAATTCAAAAAGTTACAGCCATTTTAATATCGGGTGTTTTGGCTGAAAAAATATTTGAAATGCCCGCCACGCGCTTAAATTTAATCATTAAAGAAAATGCCAAACTAAACGTTGGTTGGGTTGACATGAACTACTAAATTAATGTGGTAGCATTCAAAACTGAGCGTAGTCGCTGACACGTCCGCATTGTAAGTAGTGAAATGAGTACAGTCCCGTCTCCCGGCAACCCTATTGAGGTTCACAGCATAATACAGTTACATAATCAACGGTGCCCTGATTTCACAATTATGAGCTTAAGATTGTTTCAATTCAAATATAAAGCCCAGAAAATACGCAACTGCTATGTATTTTCCAAATGAATAAAAATAAGTTGAAGCTGTTTTCTCCTCCAGTCAAATACCATTGGATCCCGGACTGTTAAGTCAAGTTACAGATTACGGGAGCACATTAATTTTGATAATAATTTGCTTGATAAAATTATCACTAAGTGGGAACCCACCCTACGTAGTGTTCAAAATTTTATAAAAATTATAAACTTACTTCGAATATTAACGAAAAAACTTTATCAAGGCTCAGTTCGGGCCTAAAGATATCATCCTGCTGCAAGTATGTAGGTTGGATAGTAGTTGAGAACTGGCTTCTTCCACATTAAGCTTGACTGAAGAAAAAACATATTTTTATCACGTATTTCATAATTTATATCCATTTAAATCTTACGATATTACGAGTTGTGATACTTAAAAGGGTATAATCATTATGAACATACGCAGAAAATCTGTACAATTTTCGTAATTAATAAAGATCAAGAGTGAAACTGGTACATTGTCGCCAGGAAGTCAGTACATACGTTTTTTTAAATTTTCCTGAATTTATGATTTTCAAGTGAGAAATATTTAAGCTAGAAAGAAATATGTAAATTTAAGTTGAAAATCAGTTATTGAAGTTATGGTATTTGTTCTTTTAAAAAGCGTTTTTAGTGTTCAAGTTGTTACAAAATATGTGAATTTTACTGGTTTTTATCCTTAAAGCGAGGATCCCCGACGTCCGAAGTTAGGTCAAAATTCGGTCTTTATGAAAACTAGGGTTGCCGTGAGACGAGATGAAATGGACTCCATCTCATCTCACTACTGGGTGAGATGAGATGGAAGTTAAATGAGACCCTCAAAGTTTTGTCGTATCTCGTCTGTCGCATCTGCGATCTGTTTCTTGATTTTGGCCTAAAATCCTGGAGGAACTTGGCGAAATGCTCAAGAATGGTGAAGGCTATCTGGAGAAGGCAAAACAGTTATTTCTTTAGTACCTGTCATAACTGAAACGTGAGGCTGATATGGATACATCTTTGGGTGTAAGAACCACAAGCTCGATATTCGTGAATATTCGATTGGGTTGTATCCGTCCCTAGACAGTCAAATCGTTGTACAAATATGGTTATATTTAGTGTAAAATTGGGGAATCCTATATTACGCTAACTACGGGGCGAAAATTTCACTTACGAAATCACTAGTGACATTGTTCGCCCTGGTACTTGGCTAGGTAATATAAGTGTCTCAAAATTGAATCGTGGAAGGTTTTTAAATTCTTAAGCGTGTTGAGGAGAGAGGCAAGTAATTATCAAATCTTATTTATTTCTGTATTAGTTTATCACGTCGGCCTCTTAAACAGTTAAATTACAGGATATGAGACGAAACCTTCGGCGATTGCCTTCTAGAGAAAACACCTCAATTTTGTATATACACAAAATGTGAATTTGCTCAAATTTATTTAGCCAATAAAAATTGCTTCTTATCAGCCAAAATAAAATATAGATGTGTATGTATGCAGATAAATATTGAAAATCATCTTAAATATTCTGGAAACAATAAGTATTTTATTTTTCCTCGCTTTGGAGATATTTTGGAATTATAAAATAACGTTATTCCTTCCAACCCAATTCAAAATGTCAGAACAATCAATATATTATCTGTATTCGGGTGTGTCGTGCACTCGATACTACCGTAGTGTTGGGTTCTTTTAAACTCTAAATTCCTTTTGTCTTAATTACAGCAAAAAATTAAAAGAATGTTATATACTGTTGGAGACTACAAGTATAAATTATATTCATTTAAGAAACGCATTTTTAGTCCGGCTCAGGGCTTATGTAACCGTCATGTCTGTCCGTCTGTCCGTCTGCACGATAGGGCCAAAACGGCTGAACCGATTGACTTGAAATTTTCATCATATGAATATTGGACAAAGTTAGGAATCGAGTTCGAAGATGAGCCAAATCAGTCCACTGGTTGGCCGGTTGAGGCCATATGGGTGGTGGGGGCCTTATACACTGAAATTTCAAAATAGTCGTAGAAAGCTGAAATTTGGTACATAGGTGACGAATGGCTTCGACTGAAAGAATATGAAGTAAAATTGTGAAAATTTTTATTTGGAAGCACCCTATTGGGTGACCCATACCGATTTTTAAAAAATTGTCCAATTAAGCTGAAATTTGGTACAGGTGATTATTGGCCCCCAACGAAAGATTATGAAAATTTCAAAATTTTTCAACAAGAGACACCCTAAAGGGTGACCCATAACGATTTTCAGAAATTGTCTTACAGAGTTGAAATTTTGTATGTAGGTCACTAATCGCGTGTAATAAAGGATAATGAGATCGAATTGGGAAAATGGTCAACCAAAGGTACCCTATGGGGTCGTCCATACCGATTTTTCAAAATTCTCCTAATTAGCTGACATTTGGTTTCAAGGTTGCTAGTAACGCTTATGCAACTAAGGTGAAATTATATTTGAATTTATTTCAACCGGTGAGACCCAATGGGGTGACCCAAACTGATTATCAAAAGTTTCATATTTAGTTGAAATTTGGTATGGTCGGTTGAAATGATACCTATATACCAAATATGAAGTTTGAAAATGTAAATGTCTCCATGGAACGACCCAAATATACAACCACCTCGGGTTGTAGATGACCTCATAAAATAACATACCCCTGAGTCGGGCTAAATCAACACTGCACACTGAAGGTTTTTTATTTATAGTAACGCTTAAATGATACATATTGTGCACATATTAAAATAAAGTATTAGATACTTAATATAATTTTACAATATATATATATATATATATATATCTAAAGACTATGCAAAACTTGGTATTAAATTTGGTTAAATAAATTAAAGTGCAATAGAACTTTACAATTGTTCCACATATTTACAGAAGTATTACGTATTAAATCAGCCATAATGACGGTTGAATATTATTACTGGGTAATCTTACTCTAACATACGTACATTTACTAGACTAGAAAAAAACTATGATTCAATAACTTTACCAGAGGTTGTGAACAAATTTTAAACAATATCTGGTCAGAGGACTTATCATATCAAAAAGGCAAAAGAACACATACGCATTTTCTCTCGCTTACTAAAATATATGTTCCTTCATTAGCATCTTACATAGTAGGCCAGTGTTACCACTTCTGGCTCAACATATAAAAATCATCCTTTGATAATATTGACGGCAGTGAATTCTACGTATCTATGTACAAGTAAAGTTATGTATAAATCTAGATTGCACACGATACCAGAAATAGAAGCATGCATGAGCTCTTGCAAGGTTTTATCGCTTCCATTATAAATTTTCAGAAACCTTTAGTAATTAATTAAGCGAAATTCAAATTATATGACCTATATAGATTTACCAGGTTAATTCCAAAATGTAACAACTTTAAAATTTTGTGAAATTAATACTGCCTTTTTTATCGAAACTAGCATGCTCGCCGGATTTTTAATCAATTAACCTACATTCAAAGGTTGAATGTCTTCACACGAAACCATAACTTTTGGTAACGCCGAAATGGATTTTGATTGCACGTATTTATATTTAGAAAACAATGGTGAAGTCGTAAGATTAAGAGATGCATGTTATACTAATAGAATTATAAATTCAATTGAATTACTGCGATTTTCAAATAAACTAGTTATTTTAGTGGTCGGTTTTTCTCGACTTCTAACAGTATTTTCCTCTAAAGGTTACCAGTTAGTAATTTCATAAATTTTAGCAAGATAAATTTCATAGTCATATTGATTGCATTCATCGCTATGACTCAGAACATTCGTACGATGGATTTTCAATTTAATAAAACGCTTGTTAACCTAAACGTTGAAATGGATAACCTAACCTAGTGCGTCACCTAAAAAACTTCGCGCAAATTGCCTCGACCACAGCTGTACTTCAAGAGAGCACTACCAATAAGTATAATACAAAATATTAATACTTGAAAAATGGGAGTCAACATACTATTTAATTAGTAGCAGGAAACACCTTATATAGTACTTTGGATCAGGACATGTTGTCTAAATAGAAGCGGTATCCTACAGTGAGTTTCTTTCAGAACAGAATGACACCATAAATATGACCACTCTACTTGAGAAAATCCAAACAGATCTGGAAGATGTGAAATGGGAACTTCATAATTTAACAGGCAATAATAATATGGTAAAATGTGCTATATAGTATGAATTATATACTGTTGTACTAATTTAACCACTTTTTTAAAGGTACCTACTTTTAATTGTCAGTCTAAATTAAATATATATATTTATAAATTTACATTATGAAATACCACTATACCAGATTTATACCTTTACGGGTATATTTTTTCAGAAATTCTTAGTACTATTTACAGGGAATTAGGGTAATAGTAAAATTACTTTTTTTTACCTTCACTACCCATCAAATATTCTCTCCTATCCTTCTCTCCAATCTGTTAGGGTTAGGAAAAATGGGTTCAAAAATATTTTTTTTGTTTTTGATGTTTAAAAGGATTTTATGATGAAGATGTAAGATTAACACATCAGGTAAAATGTGGGAAGGGTAAATTTTGTGGTTAAGCTGAGCTACTCGCGGACGGAGAGTGCTTAACATTTAGGAACCATTATGCTTTAATGAAATTACCTTTTGTCATATATGCAGACCTGTAGTGTTTTACGAAATCTGCTCCAGTTTCGGAAATCCTTTGTCCCCACGTACTGAATTATATCAAGTGCATGAACCCATAGCTATAGGGTTCTTTTACAGGATTTTCAGAAAAAAATCATTCATCAAAAAAATTTTAGAGGAGAGGGCGCAATCACTAATTTTATAAATCATTCGTATGAATTATTTGAAATTCTTGATGTTCTTATTCACATTGATTTACCAATGTGTTTTAAGAAAGATGATAGGAAAAATTTTGAGTCATCAACACACTGCTGGCTGTGTGAAGAGCCATTTGTGTCGGAAAGCAGAGAATATATTACAAGACTCAGTACTCCTTTAGTGGAAGATTTATTAAAGTGTAGTCATCATAGTCACTGTGATTCAAAGTATGTTGGCGCTTGTCATTCTCTATGTAATCTTCAACTAAAATACAAAAGCAGGCAATCCCAGTTATCGCTCATAAGTTTTCTCGTTATGATTCTCATTTTATTCTGAATGGGATTGAAAGGGAAATTGATGTCAAGATTATTCCCTCGAATTCCGAGCACTATGTAAGTGTAATCTTTGATAACAAAATAAAATTCTTAGATTCTTTCCAGTTTCTCCACTTTCGCAGATTTGATTAAAGAAATACCCCCAAATACTTTCCAAATTGCACCCCAAATTTTTGAGGATGAGTTTATTAGTCTTGGGAATTAGAGTAATAGTAAAATTACATTTTTTCCTGTCACTACCCATCAAATATAATATTCACTACTATTCAAAAAATATCTCGGATATACATATAAGGTGTACATCATGGAGGAACGGACAACAATATCCATCAAGGATACCGTAAATATATCTTATTTCACCTGACGTGACAATTCTCATTAATTCTCATTAATTTCTTCACACTCATAAAAAATATGAGTGTGATTTTATTCTATCCCTATCGAGACCGCTTCGGACCCGTGAGGGTATAAAGAGGTAAAAAGAGGAATATAAATCTAAATTTAGCTTCTTTAACAATGGATATTGAACTATCCCCTAATTTTGGTGGAACTTTTTTCATCAAATACTGCACCGCCAGTTTAACCTCAATTGACATTGAGAAGCATATTGGCCAGACCGTTTTGAAAATTTTTAATATTCCAGGACACCTGACAAGAATATTATTACCGAAAAACCCGGCTGAGTTACTCCCTAACTCATTCACAGGTATTTCGCCTCTAAAGTTTTGGTTTGTGTTCTGAATTTATGCACTTTTTATTATTGTAAAAATTAATCATCAATTGGTTTTCAAAATAACAGATTTGTTATACCGTCGAAAAGGTTTTTTCTTGATAACCTTTTCGACGGTATAACAAATCAAGAAAACTTAGATTTCAAGGGCTAGGTATGTATTTAAAAGTTATAGAATAATATGGGGGTATAATATTAGATGGCCAGAACTTAATAACACGGCCAGACGAGTTACGTCAGATATTTTTAAATCTCAAACGAAAACCATACTCGTGTTCTGACCTTTTCAACTTGGTATCCCATGCGTGTAGCCGCAAACAGCTTCATCCCTTACGTAGCAATAAATGTTCAAACAATTTTATTGGGACGATGTGCCGTGAGTCGATGGCGACACCTTCAAGCACAATCCTATAGGGGCATAGTGTTGGAGGATACATGGCGGCAATGACTGCTTATAGTGTTCAATTTCAATATTGCCAAGATGAACTTGTGATGGATACCCTTCCACCCGGATAGATCACCTTTTTCCGATAATTTTAAGCAGTGCTACTTTCATGAATGTAATCCTAACATATTCATTTTCCAGTCACAATACTCATTGGCCATGTGGACTTCCTTGTAAAGCTTGATCACTTGGCCAACAAACCTGAATTTTATAATTAAGTTAAGTTTGTTTTAAACACGTTATTTTTAATGTAAAGTGTGAACAGTGCAAGAAATTGGTCCGTAAATTAGATACCGGCAAATTTAACGGAGTATTGAGAACAAGGTTATGTAAGCATTAATGCGTCACATATTATAAGCTGTCGTCCAGCCCGTGATCAGTTTGTACATTTATCCCATTTGCGTAACAAAATTACTTACTTTAGTTTTATTAATTTAAAAAGTTTTAAGTTCATAAAACTAAAAGCCTTCAAAGCTTTAATTATTCAAAGCTATAAAAATCATTGTCATCACCTTAGAGATTGCCGGCATGCGACGCTTTGACGCCACCGACAATGAATGATGTCCCATTAGTAGAGGGTTTTATTTCGAATTTTCTAATGCATTTGTTGCTTGAGTATACAACGAAGTGATGAATAGAGAAAAATTCATCGCATTAATTCAAATAGCATCGACTGCATGGAAAAAGTCATAGTGGCTAATATTTTATACCAAATTGCCAGCCTCAGATTTGTATTTGTGATATATGCGTGACCTATTTACATTCGGCAACACTTATTCTAAGCCAGGAGTCACGGGAGACCTATGAACATGGATAAATTAACCGTATACATACCCATGATGCGACAATGGAGGATTCTGCGCCCCCGTGCTTACCCTGCCTAATTTTCTAAATTTGTACTAACTAACCAAAGCTAGATTTGGGACGTAAAATACATATTTGTCTAGATGCGTTTACACATTGTATATAATTCCCTCCTAGAATTATTGTGGGAATCGGATAAATTCATTTTGACCAGTTTAGTGGTATCTTTTTACGAAATTCGAATATAATTTGAAATTTAGGATACCCTTCATATTTACTAAGTGATCTTTGTGTGCATAGTTCTGCTTTTTTTGAAAAAATCACAAACGAAACGTAAACTGAGACATGGAAATCACTACTTTACAACTATTGTGGTTGAAAAAAGTGGAAAATCCAATTTCATGTGTTCTGTTTTGTCACAGAAAATCCTACGTATTTCTTACATTTTCCGCTCAGCGACATTCTAATGAATTACTTAAAATTATGTACATACATATTTCCTAAAAAATTAAATTCACTACAATCGTGAAAAATTATCTTCACAAGGTAACTTAATTTTTTACTGTGAGGTTCCCTCCAAGTAATAACTTTTTGGAACATGGAATCCAGTTTATCCTTTCTCACAACGATGGCTTGTAAGTTTAATCATTAAACTATTGATCACCCAGTTCCTGCAATAACATAGGAAAATGTTTATTATTGTCTAAATATAAGTTTCATACGCTCTAAATAATTGGTGGAACAGATTGTCTCCAGCGGAGGATACATCTCTACCAGTGATAGTAACAATTTATCAACGAAAAATGATAACTTGTCTTCCGTTATGTGATACTTATTTCGTCACTCAGAGGTATCACATATTAACGTTTTGGAATTAAAAATGTCACCGAGAGGAGACAACTTATTATTTGCCATTGATAAATTGGTACCATCCCTGTTGAGAGGTATAGTGCCTCCGCTGTAGAATATATTTTGCATAAATTATGGAGAATGTAACAAAGTAAGAATTAAGGAGTTTACATTTTTTTTTATAGAACCTATTATTTATGTAATTAATCAGAAATAAGCATTATCTAATTAAAACAAATTAATTACCCAAGATTGGCAAGGATCCCTTACACCGTATTCGAAACGTGAGACAATCTGCATTTCTAATTATCTACGATGTCGATATGTACAATAAAATCAAAATTAAAATCTCAACACTATATGCAAATTAAATACAATTTTCTTTACACACATAACTCTTTCACATAAATTACACAGGTTTATTACAAATATTACATTACTTACTATTTCATCCTTAATTTAACTGGAGTCCAAGGAAATATATTTTTAAAATTTATGTAAAGAGATTATGAACTCAAAAAAATTATATATGTCGGACATTATCAATTAGAAATTGTTTTTCTATTATCAATACAATGTTGAATCACATCTTAGCTTAAAGTTTAAGATATTGAAGTTTGTCCAATTTTATTTCATTTATTGTTAAAACCAATTAAAAATGTGTGACAACCCACATCTTGACAAGATGTAGGTTGTCACGTAGCTGTAAGATGATCTTGCAGCTACGTCACTATAAATACGTTGCACGATTGCCTAGCAACAGTAATCGTTTTACCATCAGTTCACTATGCAAGAAATTCTGCCGCAGAATAGCTACATATGCTTAACCAGATATAATTCGTGCATACGTATTTAGTTCGGAACATGTCGGTATATCTGAGACCAAATCGAGTGTAATAAAATCCCAGAGTGCTTTGGTCGTGGGGAGAGATCAAAATATACATGTGCAAATTAAATGCGTGCAAATTCTCTTGGTTAAATCATCTCTGTGATGCTGGCATGAAATGAATTCACATATTTACAATGCAAATAATGTAGGAATAGTTTCCTTTCGATTCGTAACATACGTGACTTTGCAATACGGTAATAACATGTAATATGTATAGTACGATAAATATTTTTTGACAATCTTTACCTGTTACAAATTTTAACCCATTGGTAATAAAATAATTAGCTGTATCGTTATTAAAAATCGTATTTATAAATCATATTGAGATACTTGGGAAAAAATAACAATTGAAATATTTCAATCTGCACAGTTTTATAGGCTCGTGAACATTGAATGATTTCAGAGGTAGAAACTTTTTTATTCGGCGTATTTAATTCACCTTTCATAAATGCATATGTGACGGCAGGTTGCAAACAACAAATAAAACCTATCAGTACAGCTTTGCGGAGCCCGACCCAGGGATTTTTATGCAACGACTGAAAAATTCAGTAGTTTGACATCGTATTACTAGTTTACAACTTCATTGAAACCGTCATGCCGAATTTCAGCTCAATTGGACGATTTTATGAATCTGGTATGGGTCACCCCTTAGGGGTCCTCAAAATGAAAATTTTTCCAATTTCAAGTTATATTCGACCACTTGCTGTCACTAGCGACCTCCTTGCCAAATTTCAGCTCAATTGGAAGATTTTCGGAAATCGGTATGGGTCACCCACTAGGGTCCCTGCAGATGAAAAATTTTCCAATTTCACTTCATATTCTTTCACTAGAAGTCATTAGCATTGTATGTACCAAATTTCATCTAGATCCCATGACTTCGAAAAATCGGTGTGGGTCACCCCATAGGATCTCTCAAAATGAAAGTTTGTCCAATTTAAAGTTATATTCGACCACTTGCTGTCACTAGCGACCTCCATGCCAAATTTCAGCTTGATTGAAAGATTTTCAAAAATCAGTATGGGTCACCCAATAGGGTACCTCCAGATGAAAATTTTGTCAATTTCACTTCATATTCTTTCATTACAAGCCATTAGCTACCTTCATGCCAAATTTCAGCCTTCTACGACTATTTTGTATTTTCTGCACCATGGACCCACACCACTAAAATCGCCACCACCGGTCAACCACTGGACCGATCATGCCCATCTTCGAACTTGATTCCTAACTTTGCATGTTCTAAATGTGTGCCAAATTTCAAGTCGATCGGATAAGTTTAAAGAGAGTTATTGCAAGACGGACAGACGGACAGACGGACATGACGGGTACATAAGCCCTGGGTCGGGCTAAAAATTTTGAAATCCGTTTGGTGCGTCGGGTTTTATACATTTTTAAATTGCTTATTAAATAACTATCAAACTCGGCAATTTTATTTACTTTCATGATATATGTACAAAGTTACATGCATTCATACCTGTGCACCATCATTCATTTTGGCCAAATGATGACCTTCACTCGCGTGAAGGGAGTGATGGAGAGTGATGTAGAGTGAAGGATGATCAATCCTCCATCCAAAAAATGATGGAGAGTGAAGGAGACGAAGGCGCGAAAATAAGGGAATGATGGGTGAAAATGATGGAGAAAGGAAAAATGATGATCACAGAATCTCAAATCCAACTTATAACGGTCAGTCATAGATGACATTAGCGGGCTGTCTAACATTGTGGCTGGCGATTTTATATTACCTGTAGTATTTTTTTACTCTTATAACTTTTCAAGTTTTACGTAATTAAATAAAATATCAACTTATATCTAAGTTACATATACACCGGCGATTGAAAGTGTTGTCCACATCAGGTAAATTTTAATTAATTTCGGTACTTATATTATGTTCAATTTTAATTACATTAATCTTAACTTTCAAATAATGTTTGACTCAACCCAATATTTTAACATAGGATGGAGGCCATTGAAAATCTGAGCGACGAGGAGTCGAACGTGTCGACGTTAAAGGGGACAAAGTCAAAGAATTCTACAAAGTCTATAAGCAAGAAGTCTAAGAAGCAAATCGACGATGGGGAAACTACGCCGGAGTTAGCACTGAAGAAGCGACTTGGTTTCGAAAATTGTGACAGCTACAAACTGATTTTCGAAAAGCAGTATGAATATTTAGGTCACGTGGGAGACTCTGACAACTTTAAGGCGAAGTGTAAATTGTGCACAGCAGCTGGGAAAGAAAAAAATTACAGCTTCGACAGCAATTCCTTCAAAAGTAACGGGAATCGCCATTATACAGTAAATTAATTATTGTAATTATCTCGTTAATTCTTTGGAGGTCTTTACTAACAAGTTCTCTATTTTATAGACATGTCACGGCGACTATATTCTTCAGCAGACACTGGCAGCCACCGTATTTCCGAATTTCTTATTAACCCCAATTACGGTGATAGTGACCCGTTGCAAAAAAAATTTGTATCTAATTTGCAAGACCTGGTGTCAGTGGATGGTCTCCCCTTATCGTTTGTGTCAGGGCTGGGATTCCGCAATTTAATTTATGACATTAATCTGCAGCAATCGATAACAAAGACGGCGAGTAAAAAATGTCATAAAGTGTACATACTTAATATTGAAAGTTTAAATAATATGTTTTTTGTGAAAAGGTTATTCCTAGCCTAATCTTGGAGATGAGGGAGGTCGAGAATCATAATCTTCGACGGACATCTGGACCAGCAAGAGAGGAGATGGAATTATGGGGTTAAAAGGGCAGTATATTAAAGAAATTGATGGACGGTGGGAAATTGTGAGCTCAATATTATCAGTTCGCCAATTTAACAACCGACATACGGCGGAAAACGTGAAACTAAAATTGTTGGAGTGCTTGACACACATAGAAATTGGCACAGAAAAGGTAACAACAAGGGATAAAATTTAATTGCAGGAGTCGTGTAATAAGTCGGACATTTTTAGTCAGATTGGATATTTAGTGACTGACGGCGCTCGCAATATGGTATCTGCATATCGGGACTGGTTTGATGACGATCCACGTGAAATTGGCGACGATGGCGACGAAAATTTAGAAATCCTGGATACACTTGTATCAGAACAGGATGACGACGACATTTTGGAGGCTGAGGAGAGGACAGCTCAGACTTCGACGATAGCGGCAGCGACGAGGGACAACTTCTGGAGATTCCATTAGGGCTCGTATTTCGAATTTCTTGCTACGCACACACGCTACAACTGGTTGCTAAAGATGCGATCAATAAGAATCCAAAAAGTCAAAAAGTGCTCAAAAACATTCATGGAATTGTAAATTTTTTTAATAAATCAAATTACTGGAAGGCTCGATTACGAAGTGTGATGGGAAAGGAATTGATCAAGCCTTCACTAACCCGATGGAATTCAAATTATTACGTACTTAATCGATTGACTGAGGTAATTATTTACATATGTTTTGTCTTATCCTTAATTTGCCGCCGCATTACTTATTTATTTTGAAGGATTACTAAACATTTGGTTCCTCCTTTATAGGAGACTATCTACGAAACTGTGTCAAATCTGATTTTGGAAGCATGGATATCTCCGAGGAGACCAAAGAATGTTCCGGATATCCCCTTGATGCAGGATAAGGCAATGTTGGTGGAACTGCGGAACCTCTTGTCTCCAGTGGCGGAAGCCACCAATGCTCTTGAAGCAGACGGGATAACGTCGAGTCTAATTTACGACCAGATAGTATCCACTTTTGATGGTAAATTAAATATTTTTGTACCCAAGTCCCTGACTAGCGATAATGAAATTCATTTATTTTTTAGAAATTGCGAGAACTGAGACCACATATTTTACACCACTTAAATCTCAACTCCTTCAACAAATCATTCGTCGCTTTGGAGAAAACATAAAACTTGATAACCACTTATTTATCAGTGCTGTTCTTGACCCTAGGCAAAAACTCGACGTTTTTCGAAGTAAGTTTTAGAACTTCGTATTTATGTGTAGACATGATTTGTTGGCTGCTTATAAATAAATAAGCCCACTTATTATTTTTATGCAATTTTAGTGAATATTTGTTCCAATGGTGTCACAAAACTGGATACGCCAACAGTTGGGACAGTGACAAGTTTCTTGAGGGCACTGGCTTATCCCAATGGGCCGCCGAAGACCACTCACATAATTCCAACTCAGACTTTGAATAATCCATGTTCAAAATTATCAGCGATTCCGACACAAACAAGCTCTCAAAATGATGAGGTTGACCGTTATTTATCACTTCCTCGAATTCTCCCAACTTCGGACCCCCTGGAGTTTTGGGCTCAAAACAAGTCAATTTTTCCCAATTTAAGCAACTTGGCAAAACAATTCCTGGCAATACCTGCCACGACGGCTGGACCCGAACGATTGTTCTCTTCAACTGGGTCTCTGGCGAGGGCTCGACGATCGAGTCTGATGCCTGTGACTTTAGAAAATATGGTCCTCCACAAGCAACACCGTCTTCCCACCTTAATCAAGAAGAACGGAAATCGCCTAAAGTCGAGGAAGAGAACAATTGCTACAGATAAGATAGCAAGTAAAATTATGCACGATAAGAACGATAAGACTGAAGAGATTGTTGACTGATAATTTTCATTTAACATACAGCTGATATTGCTCATGAAAAGTTTTTTGTCAAAACCGTATAAGATATTTATAAAATTTATTAATTATGTATTGTTTTTACTATAAAATATCTCACAAAATTAAATCAAAATTACGTAATATATGATAATAAATAACTGATTTTTATTAGCCTTGTATTAGTATTGTATGTGAAATTTATTTCTAAATTTTGAAGTTTGCAAAATAATAAATGATAAAATAGTACGCCAAACGGAATAAAAATTTGGAAATAATTTACTGTTCATCGTGGATCAGCTGACATCGTTTTGTGAGCTACGAATGTGTAATAATGAAGGAGCAAAGAGTGTACTACATAAACACGCATGGTGGAAAAGAAGGTACGTGCGGAGTGATTGAAAGGATTAAATGATGGGATTGAAGAAATGAGCGAGAGAAATGAGTGAAGGGTTTGAAGGAGTTATCCTTTAATTTATAAATGAATGATGGTTCGCTGTCATTTCCCCGTCAAGGATTGAAGGGAATGACGGATCGCTTTACGAGAGGTGAAAATGAATGAAGGGAGTGAAGTAAAATTAATTTGCACAGGTATGCATGCATTGGCTAAAATGCTTGCCAAAAAATATGGAAAACTTTAACGGTTTTTTGATCTGTATAAATTGTCTCCTTGTGTGTAGAAAATGCATAATGTACGAATAATTTCAAACCCTGTTTATATCAGGATGTTGTGCCTAGCTGGAATCAATCCAATCTAGACGTAGGTCTGACTTTAATATGTACCTATCAACGAAATTTCCAAACAAACTTAAGTATGAGATATATATACGTATGTCAGAAATGGTTATGCCCTGTGCAAAATTAATTGGCTGTTTTTTTCGATGCGGTGAACTGTTCAAAATTCATTACTAATTCTGGCACTATAACAATATTTCTAAAGCAGTTAGGAGTTTAACTATCAGTCAATATTTATACTACAAATACGAATTTTGGTTGTATATCCAATAAGAATTAGTAGAAAGACTCTTCCACGCGCAGCAGAAAACTTCAAGACATATTAAATTTAAATTTGGTCGATTGCCTATTAAATTTGCACGAACCATAGCATAGATGTGCTTTCGTAGTATGAGTCTTTAGCAGGACACAAGTTGGTATAGGACTGATACTTCTCAAGAAAAAAAAGAGAACTCGCCCGAGCCAAAAATACAGCCGTGGTGTTAGAAGAGTATCCGTGTGGTATGGTATCCAAGTTCCAGATTCATCTTAACAAACAGAGAGAATAAAATTTCTCAGAGTTCAAATTCAGAATCCTGCTATTTTTACTGCATTAAGAATTACGTAGTATATTTTATTAGTGTTTTTATTTTCTTCCTGGGAAAATAAGTCTAATAATTATGTAAGACTAACATATAGATATCGTAATGATGGAACACATCATAAAAGCGGAAATGATGCTGGACTCTAGAACAACAGAGGCACTATGGTGTGTCGTGTTTTCGGTAATTGAACTCGACGTCTGGTACTGTATTGGTGGCAGTGGGTGTGGAGATCCAGTAAAACTGGGCGTGGTGGCGGAGCTGGAGGCAACCCCAACCATTGTCGCAGTTGGACATTCGTACACTCCTAAACCATTCCATTTCAAGGTTAAGCAATTTTCTCCCATGGTAGGAAAAACGAAACAATTCACTATTTCAGTGATGTCAATAATTATACAGTCTAAATAAAGAATGACAGGTATGTCATTAATCTAAAGATTAATTTTCTACACATAGTCAATGATTTTGCCGGAGACATTTAAATATTTACCGAGCTGATTGGTAGCAAGGTCAATTAAAGAGCACTCGTGAAGGAAAGGAGGACAATTGTCAGGTATAAAATAATTCTGGTCTACCTTAATCTTAATGTTAATTTTGCACACTTAAATAAATTTGTATACATATAAAAAAGACTGATAAATATTTTGCCGTTTCTCGATTTTGGTTCAAATGTTGTACAGACTAAAAACTGTGGTAGAAACGGTTTACAGTTTGTGCCCTATATATGACTGATCCGAATCGGTAATAAAAATGCTACCTAGCGCTTCATTTGCGTGCGGTTACATTTATGTCAAGTGCGGTAACAATTTATTACCACATGTTAGCAATTTTCTTAGTAACGCGGAACAGTCAAACACAGAGTACATACAGTAGCCCGTTATTACCACAGTTTTAAGTGTATAGAGTTTTTCACTATTACTCAACTTAAAAATAAAATTTACCATACATGTCGATCTATCTAGCACCAAATTGAGGAAAGAATTCAAAATTGTCTCCGCTAATCTCACAACCACTGGTCTTATGTCATATTCCCTATTGAAAACTACTTCTCCATTGCAATACTAGTACCATGAGAGTATTATTTAAGCACATTCTAAATAGTATTGATATATAAATGCATGCTATTGCGTACACGGAAACTCGGGTAATAGGCAGGTAGAGAAAACTGTATTCTGGCCATTTGTACTGTATTGTGACTTTGACTTGTACTCTACTGTAGGAGTAGGAGTAGTGTGGGGTGGTGGTTATGAGGATGTTAGTTGGGTACGGACAATATGACTTGACTTCGTCGCTCAATTGGCAGAGCATCTCCGCGAAAGAGAAGATCCGGTCTCAAAAGCCGGCAAGTCTGTTATATTTTTGTCCGTTCCACCCACTGCCGAATCCCTCAAACCACTCTTTTCCCACACTACCACCCCTTACAACAATGGTAGAGTACAAGTCAAAGTCACAATACAGTACAAATGGCCAGAATACAGTTTTCTCTACCTGCCTAATGTTGTTGAAGTGGATGGTATTGGAACTTGCACGCCCACTAATACTACACAGTATTATTGCGATACCAGAATGTTACGATCAAGCACGGTATAGTATTAATTCGTGGTATAAAATTTAAATAATATTAAACCCAGCCGTATTATTGTTATAGTATATTTTATTCCATATAATATTTCATACTATTGACAAAAAATAGTACAGTGTCCACGTAATAATCAAGACATATGCTTAGGTAAGTTGTACACTGGCTGGCTGGCTGTCTGGCTGGCTGTCTGGGTATGTAAGGCCTATGGGACGTAACCAGCAGAGACGAGCTACAACTCTATGTATTATCTCTCCTGCTCTCTGTCGTCGTTGCTCCGTAGCTACACCACTAACTCTTGCAACAGAGGTGAGCTCTCTCTCTCTCTCTTGCATCGAGTTCTAGAAGATCAACCACGGGGTCGGGTTGAGAAAAGTAAACCAACCGTATTATCATCCCAGCAGAGATAAATACAGTCACGTTCTTATTTCACGTTATTATTTCCCAAGATTTCCAACAAGTTTCACATTATCCTCCTCCCACTTAATAAAAACACCACCCACTATACTGACTACACTACAAATCTTACATAACCTGAAAACTCCCCCCGTGGGAATTTAAGTGATTTATGACCAGACCACTCCCCCCGACCGAAATTTAAGTGATATATGACCAGACCATTCCCCCAGTCAGAATTTAAGTGATATATGACCCGACCACACCCCCAACAGGGAATTTAAGTGATATATGACCTGACCACTCCCCCCGTGGTAATTTAAGTGATATATGACCAGAGCATTCCCCCAGTTAGAATTTAAGTGATATATGACCAGACCATTCCCCCAGTTAGAATTTAAGTGATATATGACCTGGCCAACCCCCCGATGGGAATTTAAGTGATATATGACCAGACCACACCCTCTGTGGGAATTTAAGTGATATATGACCAGCCCACTCACCCCGATGGGAATTTAAGTGATATATGACCAGACCACTCCCCCAGTTGGGAATTTTAGTGACATATGACCAGACCACTCCCCCCGATGGAAATTTAAGTGATATATGACCTGGCCACTCCCCCGATTAGAATTTAAGTGATATATGACCAGACCACACCTCCTGTGGGAATTTAAGTGATATATGAACAGCCCACTCACCCCGATGGAAATTTAAGTGATATATGACCAGACCACTCCCCCAGTTGGGAATTTTAGTGACATATGACCTGACCACTCCCCCCTCAGTTGGGAATTTAAGTGACATGACCTGGCCACTCCCCCGATGGGAATTTAAGTGATATATGACCAGACCACACCCCAACCGGGAATTGGGGAATCGCGCACTGGCACAACTGCCTCAAGCTCCAAATTAATACTCCGCCAAAGAAATTAAATTCATCTATTGACAAATTAATGTATCAAAAAATTGCAAGAGACAGACGTGGCGTATTATATAAGTTGATTCACATCTCGCCCGTCCTTGGACGGGCTTGACTCTAGTATTTGTATAAATAACAAACAAATATCCAACAAATGTATGCCTCAAATAATAATTATAAAATATGTACAAATAATTAACTTAGCAAATTACTAATTAGTATTCGTCATATATAGAGAAATCATTCTTGCAGAACATATTTACAAAAAGTGAAAATTCGAGTGAAATTTACAAGTAGAAATAACATTGCAAAAATTATTAAACAAATCTGATTTGAAATGCAAAAATGTAAATGTGAGATATTAAGAATTCACACTGTGTAAATTTTTTGTAGATTAATAAAATTGACTGCGGATTATCACATCTCAGCTGATTTCTGTGTTCTAATATTCTTACATTAATTGTGTTATTTCCGCTGACCAAAATTGGTACAGATGGCGTTCAAGCGCTGAACTAATTCTTCGTGTTCGTTGCCGTCTTGGATAACATACATCCTTTTGTGATGTATCGATCGGGAAAGCTATTGAATTTAACTCCGCTCCATGGTCATCTGTGAACCGGATAACTTTGTCATCGGTTATTGCGAAATCAGTTCTCACTGTAATTACAAAAGATTGTTTTGTAATTATTTCTTTTGAAAAGAAATAATTAATTATAAAAATGATACAATTAAAGTAATTTGTAATACCTGTTAGTTCAAAATCGTCCAAATTCACGTTGGAAAGAATTAATTTTATGGACCTACGACTGCTAAAAAGTCGAACTAAATTTGTCGTCATTTTTGCAACTTCAGTCTTTTGCTCACACTTGTGGGATCGCTGACTTCACCCACTGA